TTTTTAACTCAAACACCATTGTACCTTGTTGTACAATAGGAATGTCCATCACATACCCCTTTTCTCAAGTGCCTTATTATTTTTTCCATCATACACCATTATACCATAATTGTATAATAGGAATGCGTATCACATTTATTTTTGTTAAGCACCATTATACCTTATTGTATAATAGGAGTGCATATCACATTTACTTTCTTAAGCACCATTACACCTTATTGTATAATAGGAATGCTGTGCAAAATCTCAATTAGGCATCATTGGTCTCATCACCAATAATAATATATAGGGATATCAAAATCCCCCACATTAAGAGCATCTCAAATATGTGATTTTTCACATTTCTCAAATAATTGAGTTCATGAAGAAACTCATTTTGCTCACAAGTTTTTTATAAGAGCATATTTGCTCATCTCACTTTTCATCACCACAAAAGGGTCCTTGGTCACACAAGCTTAAAGAAAAAATTAGCTTACATTTCCAAAATATATCAACCCAAATATCAAGTCCATTTTTTCAAAATTGTTGCATGGACGAAATGGGGTAGCTCTCTCTTCTTTAGTCTTTTCACTTGGTCAAATTTTCATAGATCATTTTCCATGGTTCCTAAATGAGTAAGACAACACAGCATTCACTAAAGATTTGTTAGAGAGCAAAAATAATCAACTAACAAAATATATGATTATCAAAAAATATTTTACACATAATGGCATAACCAATGCACTTAATATTTTACTAGCCGTTGGAGTTAAATCACACTCATGTTGAAATTTATTATGTGCAAATACAACTCCTTAAAGATGGCATCATAGCATAATAGTTTCACATGCTAGGTAATTTTTTACTCCTTTTTTTTCCTTTTACTATTGAAAATATCTCACAAATTAAGAGTACAACAGCAGCAAAAGGAGCACATATCTGCACGCATTAAATTCATAACAATGTCCATTTATGATATTTCAAGCCGTTGGAAATTAAACAAACCAATAATATCATTAAGCTCCAACATGTCATGATAAAATATGTATATTCATTTGCAAGAGCAACATATGAAAGTAATCGGGTTAACACTATTTTTTTTTTTATTCACATGCCATTAAAAATAAATAGTCTACCATTCAAGCATGTGCTAATAATCATATTAGGATTTAAGAACTCATACCTTCGGTTGACAAATTAATAGGATTTTCCTCATTGAGGACATATGCCAAATTTAACAAATTAAGATAATATAAAACTTTTCCTTTCCATCTTTTGAAATGCTCACCGTCAAAACGAGAAGGCATGTTAAGATCATTAGCAAGCTTAACAGGTTTTTCACGAGGTAAACTCATTTTTTTTTAAAAAAAATTTCCTTTCGAAACGTCCTAAAATTGTTGTACCTCATAAAAAATAAACAGAAAAGAAAATAGATAGAAGATTAGCAAAAAACAATAAATTAAAGATGAAAATAAAAAGTAGAAAGATGTCACCGAAAGTATGAGGAGATTGAGTTGAGGCGTGAATCAATCACTCTCTTTAGGACGTTTCGTGCCACTGGTGCAGCAGATTTTTATGGTCACGCCGCCCCCAGGATACAACAGCCCAACCTCCTTGTTGTGTCTTTACAAGTATTGCACTCTTGTAAAGAAAGCTCTATCTCACCACCTTTTCCTTGCCCAAAGAGAGTTTGAATACTATGTTTTTTTAGATTAGGAGTGCAGATTATAAAATAAAAAATCCAGCCTTGGTACAAACGGAGGATACCTTTTTTATAGGCTTTCACAATGTAATTGAAGTA